TTTGTTCATTTTGATGACAGGTATTTCCGGACAGAGAGAGTATGTCACTAAACCTGTGACATAGGTTTGGACTGTCAATGGATTGGCTGTGCCACCATTTATGGGCACGAATAATAGCTCGTCACAGGAGGTACATTACCAGTGACCTGGAAAAAGTACATTTCTATCACTAGTAAGTTTCTTTCGTAAGCCTGGTCATCGGTTATGACTTCGACTAACGGGCTTTGTTATGCCTGGTGACTGATCACCAAAGGTTTATTATGAAGTAGAGTTTATTTTTCTACACATTATGGACTATTGGTTACTATATTTGTTAATAACATGGACTACACTTTTACAGTAATGTGTACTATATTTTTATAGCAGTCTAATCAATTTGTAAAAACAATATAAAATAATTTTGGATATATAGCAGTCAATTTGGTTTTGAAAGTCGACACCATTAATTCCTAGAGGGAGTCTACTACGTGTATGGACAGAGTAAACTATATTTTTGGACGTATAGATATCACATTTCTCTATAGTTGCCTTTTCAATAATATGAATAATAAGAATGTAATAATAATAATATAAAAATATAAAATTCATAACCGTTTCTCCTTCTATTGATTCTTTTCCTGTTGAGATGTATGGATCCATCTGTTCACATACATAGATCTTGTTCATGGATTAAGAAACTGTGCAAGAACTCTATGTGCCTCCATCATTCTATGAGTCGCTTCCTTTTGCTTATGGCACCCCCACTCCCTTTGTCAGCATCTACTAATTTGAAACTCAATTTGAAAGCTGCCCATTTACATATGTTGTTTGATCAAAAACATGACTTGCAAATATACAGCTAAAGCGTGTTTGTGAGCTTTTGAGATTAATAGAAACAGGTACCATTTGATTTCGATCACAAGAAACTCTTATTTGGCATTCTGACATGTTGATACTTGCAAGAAGCGCTTCAGTCTTCAAGCAAGTCAGAAGACTCAAATAGAAAGAAAGAATAAAACCAGTAATATTAAGGCCTCCATGCTTAGTTTTAGAAGGAGTTGACTAGCTAGTAACCGAGTAAACACTTGATATGGACTTGCTTCCTACTGGTACTCTTCCTCAATCGAAAATAAAGGAGTGACAATCACCATAATTAAGGACCAACATTCTTGTTATTATGAAAAAATTGGGAGTCAAGGAATGCATTTTCCTTCAGTGGAGAAAATCATACTTCATGACTCACTATTAGGATCATTATTCATGACTTATCCCCCTTTGATTGTTCAAAAAAAACATCTATTTGCATTTAGTTACAGATGTAAATCAACTTAGTCTTTTCATGTATGTCATGTCGTCAAATTAATATGTTGAAAGAATGTTATATTTTCCACAAAAGAAAAGGAAATAGTGCTAATGTGCTGAAACATAGTTCATAGCTGTACTTCAAAACGTGTATTGCTCTCGATCCTTTTTCAGCCCAACATCTTTTGTCGGGTGTGTACTCTGTATGTACCCTCTTTCGGTGCATGAAGCATTATCTGGACCTTGGGCGCTTAGGTATGTGGAAAGAGGGTTGGAATTGACTAGGCGATGTGGCAACCACGGTGGTATAACCTGGTTCTCACTAAGAGCATCTCCAGCCGCCCCCCAAAACGGCCTTCCCAGGCATTGTTTTTTGCCGGCGCCAAAAAAAGGCCCAGCTGCGCCCTCAGGAGCCCGTTTTTCGCCAGCTTGGGTCAAAATCAGCGCCGGCGGATCTAGGCCGAACCCGACGCGTCGGGTGGCGCTTGGGGGCACCGGGGCGAGCGTTTTGGCGCGAAGCAGCCGTGGGCCCGCCGAGTCAGCGAGACGGCTGCTTTGTCGACCCCATCGCCTCGGTTCCCATGGGAATCAATGCGAAGGCTGCCGGGCTGCCGCGCTACCGCGCCGGTCAGCCTCCATTGATGCCTCACGGGCGGCGCAGTGAAGACGCCGCCAACGCGCGTCCGCTCGCATGCGCCACGCGTCCGCCCGCATTCCGCCCACCGCCAGCCCCGCTTCGGCTATAAAAGGCGCCCCTCCCCGCCGGTGAGCACCACACCCTCCCCCTCTCCCTCTCGTGAAAGCCTTCTTCCCGCCGACGAGCTCTCCCCCCACTGCCTTCCACCGCCGACGAGCGAAATGGCCGAGAGATACCCAGGCGACGGCGCAGCGGCGAACGGCTTCGGCCGACGACACCTCCAGGAGCCGGAGGCGCGCCTTCTGTACGAGGCCGAGTACCCGGCGCCGCCCGACATGCGCGTGTCGGGGGCGTGGAGGCTGAGCGCCGGCGGCGTCCCGGTGCCGCCCATCCCCGAAGGAGCCGCATGGCTGGCAGAGATCGCCCACATCCGCTCGTCGCTGACGGAGGAGCAGCGGAACGAGCCGAGGTACGCGCCCGACAGCGAAACGATGTGGACGCTGTACTTTCAGGCCCGCCGCGGGGAGCAGATCGCCTTTGCCAACGGCGTCATCCCCCGCGGCCGCCTCAACTCCGAAGGACCGCGTGAGTGGTGGGGCGTCCCCGGCCGTACACTCGACGCCGTTCTGGACCACATCGAGACCGGCAATGTGCCGCGGCTGGAGTACCCGGCGTGCCCCTCCTTCTCTCGCCACCACGGTAGTTCTTGGATACCGCGGCGAATGGAGCCGGGGTCGTCCTCCTCATCGGGCTCCGGCTCGCCGGACATCCGCCCCGTCAAGCCCGAGCCGGAGGAGACACCGCTCGGGCGTCGCGCGCAGAGCGGCGCCCTCGTCATCAACGAGCGGTCGCCTAGGACGGCACCGACGAGGCACTCCCTTCGCCTTGTCCGACCGAAGCCCGAGCCGGACACGCTCCCCGTGAAGCTGGAGCACGCCGGCATGGTGGCACCCGACGACGAGTCCGCCCTCGAATGGGCGAGGGAGGACTACGTTCGCGAGCAGGTGCGCCAACAGCGTCGGGCTTACCTGGAGACCCAGGCCAGCAGCCGCGCCGAGGCCCGTCGCCGCGCCGAGGAGCATCGCCGTGCTGAGGAGGGCGGCGTTATCGTCATCGACAGCGACGACGAGGTCGAGGCTGGGCCGTCATGCGCTGTCGGCGACCCGGGCGAGGGGTGCAGCAGGGACGCCGCGGGCGATGCGCGATGACGACGACGACGACAATGGCGGGGGCGACTACACCCGCTTCTACAGACTTCTCGGCATGTAGAAGGCGGCGGCGGCAACAGTGGCGACACTAGCTAGGCGTTTTAAGTTTGTTTTTAAGTTAGTTCACGCATGTTTTACGCTTTTGCACAAATTTGGACGAAAAATGGTAGAGTTCATGCAAAAGTCGCCTAGTTTGAAAAAAAACAAGACGAACTTCGCCGAACCCGCGGCGACCGTGGGCGTGTGACTGGAAACGAACCGAAGCCCAGGGGCCGAACTAGCGCCGGCTCGCCCCCAGGCCGCTATTTTTCGGCGCCCTGGGGGCCGAACGGCTGGAGATGCTCTAAGGAGTATCACTCTAACCCAAGATGTCACAATCAAGGTTCATGGTGGTTCAAAATCCAAATTTGATTCCAGATAAATGAAACAACTGTTACTGGCTTCATCTTTGTATGTCTCCATCGAGGTTCATGGTGGTGTTCTATGAAGGTTTTATTTTCCACAATCGAGGATTCAATTGGTAAGTTGGTTTCGAATAAGTTGTATATGTTTTTGTGTTTGCCTCCTTTTGAAGAGTTTCATAGGTGTTATAGTGAGTTTCAGGAAGTATACTAGAAGTTTGGAATAGTTGGAGAGATTGTTAAATGGATCCCCCTTTTTCCTTTGTTTTAATGAAATTTTGGGGAAGTTCCAAATATTTCATCTCAATTCAATAGAAGATATACTATTAAATTTTGCAGACCTATAGCAACATTAATTCACCTCTCACCCCACAAACAAAATGAAACTTGCCTCACAGGGAGAGGATTTGTGGCATGCAAGTGCAGGGGCACGCATGTCCCTAGTGCTGTCTTTTTTATTTTGGCTTCCGATTTTCAATGTTTTATATCTTTTAAAACGAAATTCCAAATAAGTTATGTTTTCATATCCGTGTTTCTCGTGACCAGCTAGCGCTTTCAAATAAGATCCATTTTGAATATATTTTGACTACTTTTAAAAAATATGTTAAGTTTCAATGTTGAAATGTAGTATGAGCTACCGCTAAAAATCAATTGTTTTGTGTCTACGACTGACAGAAAAAATTGCTTGAAATTATATCTCTAAAACTTGTTGAAACTTGATTGTTTTAGATGCAAAAGCTGCAAGTTTCATCGTTGAAACTTAAAAGTTTTTGAGAGATTTTCTTTTTATTGTGCCCTCGTGCGGGATTAAACTACTGCGTGATTCGCGAGGCAAAACAAACGGCAGCAGGTCTTGGCAGGTGAGTGCCCCCGCACTCGCGTGCGCCTACGCATATCCGTTGCCTCCCACTATAAACACACTTGGAACACTGCTCTAATGGTTCTTCAATTATTCTTTTTTCTATTCCTTTATGTTCGTTTGCCCGGAATTGTTGCCATCATGTCTTGATTACATATAAACATCACGGTCTACATCCTTCTCTGTTCCCATGTCCTATCACCAATTTACATAGAATTAGTGGGCTGAATATTATCTTTATCCATTAAGATTGGCAACCACATGCTATTTTTTTATATATATAATTTCTCACATATATACTCCAAATGCCATTTGCTAGTGACAGATGAGCAACATATATATAAATAAAGACAGATCAGTTTTTGGCATCTACAAAGAGATGCATTGCTCTCAGTCAACCAGAGAAAGAAACCACGTGGAACCTGTCATACTTTTCCACAAGCCTAGCGGCCTAACTTTGACCATTCTACATGCATCTCATGCAACTGAGAGAAGAGTGCTAATATAAATAGGTGGCTCGTGCCCGCCATAGTTGGGCAAAGCCACTGAGCTAGCAATCCTTACAGTGAAGAACACACTGAGCCAAAGTACGTAGCTAGATAAGTTTGTGAGTCATGGCTTCCAGCTCCAGCTGTAGGGCATGGCATTGCTTGCTTGCCCTCTTCCTCCTCTCCTCGGCCGCGTATGGTCAGCTGTCGCCGTCATTCTATGCGAGGAGCTGCCCGACGTTGCAGCTGATCGTGCGCGCCACCATGATCAAGGCGCTCCTCGTTGAGCGCCGAATGGGCGCGTCCCTCCTCAGGCTCCACTTCCATGACTGCTTTGTTCAAGTAAGTAGCTAAACTAAACCTTTAAGCAAACATAGTTATGTCGATTGATTTACAGTCATATACGTAGTAATTTTCTTTTCACAGAGAAGGTCAGATTAATGCGGGAATTTTGTTATATGTATGTATATATAGGGCTGTGACGGGTCCATTCTCTTGGATGACGTGGGTAGCTTCGTGGGCGAGAAGACGGCCGCCCCGAACAATAACTCGGTGCGGGGCTACGAGGTGATCGACGAGATCAAGCGGAACGTGGAGCTGCTCTGCCCTGGCGTCGTCTCCTGCGCGGACATCGCTGCTCTCGCAGCACGGGACGGCACGTTTCTGGTACGTACATAAAATCAGTGGACATTTGGCACAGTGCACGTACAAGTTTTTAATCCTGACAACAAGTGTTTTGGATCAGCTAGGGGGGCCCAGCTGGGCGGTGCCGCTCGGCCGGCGCGACTCAACGACGGCCAGCCTGACCGAGGCGAACGCAGACCTCCCAGCTCCCTTCTTAACCCTGGACGGGCTCGTCATGGCGTTCGACAAGAAGAAGCTGAGCCCGCGCGACCTCACGGCGTTATCCGGCGCGCACACCATCGGCTTCTCGCAGTGCCTCAACTTCCGCGACCACATCTACAACGGCACCAACATCGATCCGGCGTTCGCCACACTGCGCAAGCGTACCTGCCCCGCCCAGCCCCCCAACGGCGACATGAACCTGGCGCCGTTCGACGTGCAGACGCAACTCGTCTTCGACAACGCCTACTACCGCAACCTGGTCGCCAAGCGCGGCTTGCTGAACTCCGACCAGGTGCTCTTCAACGGCGGCTCCCAGGACGCGCTGGTGCGCCAGTATATCGCCAACCCGGCGCTCTTCGCCTCCGACTTTGTGACGGCGATGATCAAGATGGGGAACATCACACCGCTGATTGGAACCGCCGGCCAGATTAGGCGCAACTGCAGGGTCGTCAACAGCTGATTCGTCCATCGTCTCGCCATATATACGTGTTACATATGGGCGTAAAATGAGTGCGTAAAGTTAGGTTGGTTACGTCTACGTAGCAATCACCTAGCATGCATGGCAGAATAAGAGCCGTTTGGTTCAGATAATGCCTGGGTTGAGTAACCTTCCAACTCCAGGGTTGTAAGATACATGCTTCATCATGTAAGTATCTCCGACGTATGCATGCAGTGCTTTAATGGAAACCAAGAATGCATGGTTTTTTATGCAACACTGGAGTGAGATTTGCGACAAAACTGTGAGAGAAAACAAATGTGAAGAGAGATTTTTTTTTATCTTTCTTTTTTCGAGTCAACTCTTTGGTTTAATTTTACTAGCTAATTGCCCATACGTTGCAACGGGTGTATACATATTTTAGTGGTTCAACAATCAACATCAGTTTTGTGCGACAGATACCTTACACACACCATATTCTAAATTTTGGCAAGATATAATTTCATTTAGGTATGGGTAGGGGAAGGTAAATAATGCGGAGAAAAAATACGAGCAAGGAGGTGAGGCTAACCGGTGGGAGGAGACGTATGTGATAAAAGGGGATTGACCGGAGTGGAGGTGACGAAACGAACTCCCCAATAATAGAGATTAAGACAAGTGTACTGAAGCAAGCCCCTTTTATGAATCACATAAAACTACCAATAGCAGCCAAGAATACTAGAGCCTGACGTACAAGCCGAAGATACTGGAGCCGTGGAGGACTCTACCTCCACCGACGTAGCTGACTAAGATCTGTAACCCTAGGACCCCTGATATGGTATATAAGCCAGGGTCAGGCTCGTCAAGAGCATACATACAATCCCTTCATAGTAACATATACTTTATACACAGCCCTATCAAATATACACGAATAGGCGTAGGGTATTACCTCTATCATGAGGGACTGAACCTGGGTAAAACTGTGCTCCTGTTACCATCCAGCCTATTCTCCTTCCCGAGATACTCTACCGAGGATCTGCCAGAATCTACTTTGACAGTGGTCACCCAAGCAAGTTGGCTATCTGCTTCGACAGATCAAGGCCAAGGTGGACTTCCCCACTCCGGAGGCAGCCGGGCAGCCGTAGCCCGACTATGTGTGGATGCTTTTGAGGATGATTCGTTGAACTTGCTTTAATCTCGGCAAATGAATATGATGTGCAGCTCGGAGGCGACCGAGGTACTCATTACCCACAAATACAGGGGGGTGCGACAGTCTTTGAGGGTAGTGTTTCACCCAAATTTATTCATTCAACACAAGGAAAGCCAAAAAATATTTATAATTCAAAGCATTGAGTTGTCAATTCAACCACACATGAGAAATCGCTTTCTTGCAATAATTTATTAATAGCGGAGTAGAAGTAAAGTAGCAATAATAGTAACAAGTGGAGCAGTAGCAAATAAACGGTGACAATAGTAGAAAAGCCTAAGCATGGATTAGCGATGGGATGTTCGGATGATGTTCAATATGCAACTGCTACGACCTAGAGTGACACAAAACATGGAAAATAAATTTCTAATAGAAACCTACATACTAAAATTTAGGACGTACATATGTTCTGTCTCCACTAAGACCACCCTTCCCTTCACCCCCTTGATGGGTCAAGGACATGCCCTGCGAAGAGAATTCCACCCGACACCTCCTCCACCACGAAGAAGGCAAATGGATGATCAACGATGAAGTCGACACGCACTGGCCGTTGGTAGGCCGCTATAAATCTACCAAAGCCAGTAGTGACAGCGGCCGCCTCGGTCCCTTCCTCGTTTACCTTGATGACAGGCTTGTGTAATACTACTTCGCAAAAGCGTCGGGCTTCTGCCGCCCCCCTCGATCATGCCGGACATGTTGGACTTTTCCAGCTTGAATACGTGGTTGAGTCCATGTCCCGGAGAACGTCGATCATTTCAAATGAACCAAAAGCACCCCAATGTAAAGGAGATTTCAACATTAGAGCATCTCCAATAGATGATGCAAAATACAGCATCCAAAAACAGTTTTATGGCACTGAAAAGCAGGTTTTAAGGCACCAAAAAATTTATGTCGTGGGAGATGATGCAAAATAGGGCGCTAGAAATTTTTCTGCCATAGCACATCATGTAAAACTGGTGCCCTAAAACTTCCAATCATGGTAATATTCCAAGCACTATGAAACGTTCAAACTTAAACATGAGCTCAAGGTATTTGTGACATACATAATTATATGATTCGGCAAAATACAAAAAATCTTAAGATTTATTTCTTGAATTGTTTCAAAATTGAAAGGACTGAAGGATTAAACAAAATCCCCAATTCTAAGTGACAAAGAAAAGGATTGTATAGCACCAATGTAGAGAGTATGAGGACGAAGAGATTGACACGGGAGTATCTGCATCATGTACGCATGAGTGTCAACAGCGAATCAAAATGGAATCTCTAGCACTAACCTCATAGGCTAACATGCAGCCTTGTTCGCGAGAAAAAACTGTGTCTTTGAAGCTGAAGGGGAACAGGTGAAAGAACACAGGGAGCGTCGTCAGTGAGGAATAAGCGGAAGGCCTCGATGCCATCCTCTCTAGCACTAATCTCTTCCTTCCAATTAATTAGTGGAAGGCGTCAATGCAATCCTAACACACCGGACATTGCGCGCTGGCCCAGACTGTGTCGACCTCCGCAATTACCACCGTCGAGAGGCCCTTCATGGCAGATTTCGCCACTGGCCGCCCGCCCTTTACCGGGGGCACGTGCTCTTCCTATGCAGGGAGCTTCCTGAACAACTTGTCGTCTTCCTAGTAGAGTGGCAGGCCCGTCTCGTCCGGCAGTGCGCAATCAGCGTCTTCTTCTCCTCATTCAAGTCGCGAGGCCAGGCAGAGCTGCGGCGGTCTACTTTTGGGCATCCACACAGCGGTCCATGTGGTGGGAAGGGAACGACGCGTCGGGGTCGTAGTTGGGAGGCTGCACTGGCTGGCTGTGGGACACAAAGCGGGCGCATTGGAGTTCTATTCTATGGCCGGTCACGGAAGGGGGGCGGGCTGCCAACACCTATGGTGCGGTTGTATTTCGCAGCAGCCGGGTGAAGTGCTGTAAATATGCAGCACGCGGGGGTAAAAACAGTTTTTTGAGCATTGCCCTATTTTACATCATCTGTTAGAGATTCTCTGACTTTGAGCCACAATTTATTTGGTCATGAGGACAGTGTCCTTGGTGGGCGACACAAAATATGTGAGAAACTCTATCGACGCCTTGACCAAGTATTGTTTGACGTGTTATAGATCATGGAATTGACTAAACTATATATATGCAAATGAAATGGCAGGTAATTGTAGCACAAACATGGAAATAAAATTTCTAATAGAAACCTAAAGATTAAAAATTAGGACATATGTCCTCTCTCCACTAAACACCACCATTCCTTTCACTCCCTTGATGGGTCAAGGACGTGTCCTGCGAAGAGAATTGCGCCCGACACCTCCTCCATCACGAAGAAGGCAAACGGATGATCAGCAACGAAGTCCACCCGCTGTGGCTGTTGGTACGTCGATAGTTCTCTGCCAAAGCCAGCAGTGATGGCGGCCGCCTTGGTCCCTTCCTCGTTCACCTCGATGACAGCCTTGTGTAATACTTCATACAACGCCGGCCTTCTGCCGGCCCCCTCCCCCATCATGCCGGACAGGTTGGACTTTTCCAGGTTGAAAACGTCATTCAGTCCCAAGTCCCGGAGAACGTTGATCATTTTTGTGGAGAAGGTGAGCTTGAACTTGGGCAGACGGAAGTCACCGACGCGGACGGTGCTTGTCGGCAGGTGCTCACGTAAAAAGTCAGGGCTGGATGCGATCTTGTCGGTCAGCCGCCACAGCCCGTCGTGGTCATCGGGGAGGAAGACACACATCGAGTAGATCACCGACGCCGGACCGGGCAAGCCTGTCCGGTAATAAAGCTGGAGCACCTTGAACCCGTCGTGGCAGGCAATGCGCTGCCTTCCCGCGACACGCTCCGTGCCCGGGTCACGCATGAAGGGCACGTCGACGGTGCTGCCGTCTAGGCGGTGGAACTTGTCATCCTTTGTGTGTTTCTTGTGGAAAGGCTTGCTCCACCCGCCCTTGAAGTAGATGGCGTTGGCGACCACAAGGTCGGTGAGCTTGGACAGTTCGCGTGGATCAACGATCGAGTGAATCCGGTTGTTGGTGGACGCTGCCACCCATGCGTTGATCTGCTTCCCTGCTTCCTCCGGCTGCACCACCGCGCACATATTATTAATTAGTTGTTGTAATAGATGGATCAATCTGGACATGTGCCCGTACGGCGAACGACAAATCGGTACTGACCTTTTCGTGGAAGTCTACGGCGCCCGTCTGCGCGTTGTACGACTTGAGGGCGGCGTCGACGTACGCGGCCTTGAGAGGTCTCGTCTTGTCGTGCCACACGGCGCACACGAAGCTGACGAATGGTCCGCCGGTCTGTGACCGGTCGGCGAAGGCCTGTTCCGCCAGCGCACGGACGGACCCAGCGAGCTCGTCGCGGGACTGTGCGCCGAGGACGCCCAGCATCTCCGCGAGGGTGCGCTCGCGCGCGCCGGCGGCAACCAGGGAGAGTGCCGCGTAGACCGACACCGGCGAGAAGATGAGGTTGTCGTTGTTCTTGCCGGCGTCGTTGGCGAGGCGCTTGGTAAGGGCTAGAGCGAGCGCCCTCAGACCGGACCCGGAGCTCGAGGACCGGGCGGGCAGATCGGCCACGGAGTCCGTCGAGATCCATCGGCATAGCTTGGGAAAGCGGCGGGGCTTCAGCGATTGCATCTTGGGTAAGTACCCACGTGAGTTTGGCTATTTCTCTACGTGCTCAGGTCATCTGCCTGTCTATTTAAGTTGGGCCATTGGTATCACCGTGAGGGACCGACCGAGCTCCATGCAATCCACTCTTTGGACTCATTCGATTCGATTAGGGATTTTCTAAGAACTCCTATGGGCTTTTCACCAATTGGATTTTGTTTTCTGTGTAGCATTTGTTTCACAGAAAGAAATGCACTAGGTTTTTTTTTCCAGAGGGGTAAAGCCAAATTTATTCATGAAAGTCCACATGGTGTGGGATACATCTATGGTCATGAGACACGCCAAACCAAACGTGGCGCCCCGGACCTTTAGAGAGCGAAAACTTGGCTAAGCTATGTGCTTCATAATTAACAGCACAACTCTCAAAAGAAAAATTACAATGAAAAGTAGATGATCTAAGGTTTATCTCTGTGATGATCGCTCCATACGACCCATGCAAGTTCTTAAGAAATGCACTAGGTTCATTAGGATTCCGAGGATTACGTAAGACCTTATGATAAATACCCAAGGGTTGGAGTGGGCTTATGTGACACACCCTATTTCATTGCTTGAATTATTCCTTTGATTCCTTAGGCCCAATTTGTATGTATTGAGATATTCAAATCCATCCTAGTAGGTCCAACAAATTAAGAAAGGTTGTACTTTTTGAAAAAAAAAACCACATATATCTTGATGAGTTACTAGGTTGATTTTGATTTAATGCCAGGTGCAAGTCACTATACCTTTTTGGGGTTGAATTGTATTTAATATGGGGACCACGGATCTAACAAAGAAAAAAAAACATGATGCATAAATATTCCATACATACAGTGTACATAATACAAGTCATAATGTTTTTATTACGAAATCACTCCTTTATACGAGCGGCCGTGGCAACGCTCGGTTTCCAAAGGGACACGCCCCAGTGGTCCAGACTGGCGGTGATTTCTGTCCTTTCTTTTCCCCCGCAATACCCGGAGCGCCTAACCTAGGCGATTAGGGTTTACGGGTGGAACACGGCGGCGCACGCTGAATCTCGGCGAGGCGATTGGAGGGGAACCTGCTGATGGCTTCATCATCAACGCAGGACCGAGGAAAGGATCCCTTGTCGCCGCGGACGGCAAGGGCAAAGCTGGCGGATGCTCTGGGAAAACTCGACATCACCGAGGAGGAGGCTACGCCGCTGGTGCTAGATGACGCGGACGAGGGAGCGCTGGGAGAGGTGGATGCTGGCTGGCAAGGTGCTTCACAGGAATATCCTCCACATCCAGACCATCACCAACGCGCTTCGCCCGGCTTGGGGAAACCCTAGGGGTTTGGATTTCAAATCGGTCGGGGACAACACCTTTGTGGCCGAGTTTGCAAACCGGAGGGATCGTGACCGCGTATGGCAAGGGGCGCCATGGCATATAAGCAAGCACGCCATCATCATCTCTGATTTCGACAAGTGCATGCGTCCCTCTGAACTGCGGTTTGACAAACTGCAGATGTGGGCTAGGGTTGTTAATCTACCCTTCAACCTACGTAGCGAAAAGTGGTGTGCAGCGATTGCTAAACAGATTGATGAGCACGCATCAGATGTGATCTTTGATCACACCAATGGCTTTCTGAGAGCCAGAGTGACAGTGGATGTTAGTAAGCCGTTAAGGCGTTGGATCTTGATTGAATCAGCAAGACGAAAGAGCATGGATCCCTATGATATTCAGTATGAGAATATCCTGCACTTCTGCTTTTCGTGTGGTCGCTTAGGCCACTCGGACTTGTACTGTCCAACACCGGGGGCTAGAGATGCCAATGGAGATCTGCCCTTCGGGAAGGGACTGCGAGCTTCGGATGGAAGCAAAAAAGGTAGCTCCAGTGAGAACATGCCTAGAGAGCATCCTGAGAATCAAAACAACAAGGCTGAGACAAGAGGCTCGACCACTGCAGCTGAGAAAGGTGCTGAGGTGGACTCCCCAGGCAAAATCAGAAATCAGAACAAACGGAAGGGGGGCCCGCCGGCCAACAAGCAGGTTTACAGGAGGGTAAGTGTATCCTTGCTGACTAATGAGGCGTTCGTAGAAGCACCTGGTGACCAAGTCTTAAAAGCTACAGAGGAGGATCCCAGTGCCTCTTCTGTCGACGAGGATGGGGAGAGAGTTCCTAAAAAGAAAAAACCAACCCCGGTCAACTCTGGGCACTCGGCAGAGGCTGCGGCGCAGCCCTGCCAGTCGCAATGAATTGCCTCAGCTGGAACTGTCGCGGGCTTGGGAACCCAGCGGCAGTTCTAGAGCTTCGCAGTGTCGTGAAGCAGGAAGGGCCCGGTCTCCTCTTTCTGATGGAGACGAAAATTTCAGCAAAACGCGTTGAAAACTTGAAACCCACACTTGGGTACACAGGTTGCTTTGCTGTAAACAGTGAAGGATTGAGCGGAGGAGTTGCGTTGTTCTGGTCAGCCGATGTCAAGGTTGAACTTAAGAATTTTAGCTCTGGACATATTGATGCTATGGTGCAGACAAATGGCCCGGACTCAAGTCCATGGCGCTTCACGGGTTTCTATGGAGCCCCTAAAGCGGCAGATCGCCACCACAGCTGGAGATTTTTGTGTACTCTTAAAGCATTACCACATGCGCCTTGGCTGTGCGTCAACGACTTCAATGAGACACTTTTTGCCTCGGAACACTTCTCGCGAGCTGCCCGCCCAAAGTGGCAGATGCGAGCATTCCGCGAGGCTACGGATGATTGCTTGTTCCAGGATCTCGGATGGACTGGGGCAGAGTATACATGGGATAATGGTCAACCGGGTGTTGACAACGTGAAATCAAGGCTGGATAGAGCCTTTGGAAACTCGGACCTTCTCCACCTGTACTGTTGCACACGAGTGAGACACATAAGCACGACTGAGTAAGATCACTGCTTTGTGCTCGTGGAGCTTAAAGAGCAAGTGCCCGTGTACAGAACAAGAGGAGCGAAGCCTTTCCGCTACGAGGAAGTATGGCAAATCCATGCAGATTACGACCAAAAGATTTTGGAAAGCTGGCAAAGTGGGTCGGGACAACAAGGGTTGGCCGGTGTGCTCACTGCACTTCATAACATGCAAGAGACCTTATCTGCATGGGGTGCGAGAGAGTTTGGCAGCCGCACTGCCACCATAAAGAAGCTTCGGGCAAAGTTGGATCGCCTGTGATGTCAGTCTATTGGGCGAGGCCCATCAGACGAGGAGAAGGCCACTGTTAAAAAGTTGAGAGAGGCTCTTCGTCAGGAAGAGATTTGGATGCGCCAGAGGTCGAGAGTACCCTGGCTGCGTCATGGCGATCGCAACACCAAATTCTTTCATGCCCAAGCGGCTATGAGAAGACGCATAAACAAGATCGAACGACTTGTGGGTGATGATGGCTCTGTCTGCCAAAATCAGCAGGATGACCAGACTGAAGTCCATCAGTTTTACCAAGCTTTGTATACATCGCAGGGTTTCAACCCAATGGATGAGCTATTGGACCTGGTTCCAACCCGTGTGTCTGATCAAATGAACGAGCGCATTGATATGGCCTACACTGAACAGGAGGTAAAAACTGCATTGTTTCAGATGGCGCCATCAAAAGCACCGGGAGTGGACGGCTTCACCGCAGGATTCTTTCAGAGGCACTGGAATATTCTAAAAGAAGACATTGTACCGGCGGTGCTGGGATTTCTAAATGGGGGCGAACTACCGGAGGGGATGAATGATACTTCTATCACACTAATTCCTAAGGTACGGCACCCTCAGAGCATTAAGCAATATAGACCCATCTCCCTTTGTCCTGTTTTGTACAAAATAGCAGCAAAATGCATTGTCAACAGGATAAGAGGTTTTCTGAACGATATTGTGAGCGAGGAGCAAAGCGCCTTTGTACCAGGCCGACTCATCACTGATAATGTGCTTATAGCACATGAAAGCGTGCATGCACTGAAGAGGAGGAAAAAAGGAAAGAACTTTGCATGCGCTGTCAAACTGGACATGATGAAAGCATATGATCGCGTTGAATGGCATTACCTCGAGGCCATCATGTCAAAACTAGGCTTCAGTGCCTCCTTTGTCCGGCTGATTCTGAAGTGCGTCTCGTCAGTCCGATTTGCAGTCCGTATGAATGGTGAGTTATTGCCATTCTTCACCCCTTCCAGGGGATTGCGACAAGGCTGCCCGGTGTCACCGTACCTCTTTCTCCTCTGTGCAGAAGGCTTCACAACT